ATTTTTTTTCCTGTGAGTCAAATGTTTAGAGAAAACAAAAAAAGAAGCTTTTATTCTTAGATATACATAATTGTACATGTATGAGCCCTTGGGCCCATGCAGTCTGCTGTCTTTGAAAAATTTAGGACAAATTGCTCTCAAAATCATTTTGATCACTGGATGTAAATTGAGAACTACGAAACTTACAACTTGAAGGGACTTATCTTGACAATCTCATTGTAATGCACATCTTTGTATGAATAATGTTCCATCAACCAACTATAGGAAGGAACCTACATATAGAAGGAAGAACTATCAAATTAGTTCTTAAGAGAGTAAAATTTAGCTCTCAGTCAGTCAGTTAGTCAGAGCTCTCTCAAGAGGTACACCATACACATACTTTCAGTTCGACAGCTCTCCTCAAGAGTGCTTTTACAAAATTCATATTTATAATTATTCAACACTCACTTAGTACTTAGACATTAATTCAAGTCAAAGACCAGCTCTAAAGAAACAGAAACTGTTTGCTATAATGTGTGGGAAAGTCTTCTAACACATAAATGAGCTTGGAGCTTGGTGTTTTTCTCTCTCTCTCTCTCTCCCTCTCCAAAAAAAAAAAAAAAAAAAAAAAGGATTCTTCAAAATAGTTGTGGAATGAAGTACACAAACAATACACAAAAAAAGAGACCTCCACCAATCTAACTGCTCTGATTTAACTCACTGTTTCTGCTGCATCAATGATGTCCCTGTGGTGGAATATTGCAGGTGGAAGGGAGAGAGTCTGTATAGGGGTTGGTGTAGTAAAACTGTGTTCACTGAGTTCTCTCTGACCTTCTTTGGGAACACCAAGGACTTCCCAAGCACTCATATCTGCCATGGGCTCTACAGTTTAGTTCATTCAAAATAAATGATTTAGCTATAAAATAAATTATGATTGCATCTTAAACTCATAGTGTTAGTGGGAAATATCATTTATTACAATTGAATGCAATAAGTTATTTGTACCTGCATAGATAAAAAATATATTTATAAAGATTTTATAATCTAAATTACAATACAGTAATAAAAAACTTATCGGTAAAATTACATTATTTATAGAAAATCATATCTTTGCCAACATAATATTATCTGCACAAAATGTGTTTGATTCTCTTCAAAATAATAAAATTCACGGACAATTATTGAGTAAAATTGTACTTTGTTTTGTGCATTTCCCATCCATAATTCCTAAAATTAAATCTTACCTGGAGGATCTTCCACCAGTCTATTGTCAGTGACCATTTCTACTCTGTTTTGCTCTTCTGACTGGGCTTTACTTTGGGCCTTGTTTTTCTTTTTCCTCGTCTTTTTTCCCCTTTGTCTGTTGGTCCTTCTTTTTGCTTTTTTCAAGTTGTGTGGATGGTGTGGTATCTGTTTTTTCCTGATCATCTTGAAGATTTAAATCAAAAGACAATACTATGTAGCTTTTTTTTCCCCATGAGCCAAACTTTTGGAGAAAACCAAAAAGAAGCTTCTATTCTTAGATATACATAATTGTGCGTGTATGGGTAAAGACTGAAAAAATGCACGAGTCCTTGGTCCAATGCAGTCTGCTGTCTTTGAAAAAGTTAGGACAAATTGCTCTCAAAATGATTTTGATCACTTGCTGTATTTCCATGTAGTTCTTGTGGTGAGTGTTATTGTTGTTGTTTTTTTGTTTGTTTGTTTGTTTCTTTTTTTTACTTAAGGTATGACTGGCAGTTATCTTAGTTTTGATTCTCATGTCCAATACACCTGATTTGACTCAGGAGACGAGTCATTCCATTTGAGTCAGATTGAAGATTATCAAGCATCAAGCATCTTGAAAATCAACTTGTGGTAAGACATTTCCACCTTAAGAGGCATGGTTTATTCAGATTTCCATTATCACAAGATGACTTAACCATTAATTAACTCAGGGCTAAAAATTTAATGACTGTGCTTGGTGGCCAGTCGGACCAGTTTCCTTGAATTCTTGGTGGCCCATCCCTAAATGAAGTAGCCCTTGATTTCCTCTAGTTTAAAATGAAAAACTTGAATAAACACCCCATAGCTTTTAAAGGAGCATTAAATAAAAGGAAAGAACACAAAAGTCCAGAGTCACGTGGATATCACAAAATCAAAATGGGGTCTATACGTTGTGAATGTGGATTGCTCATGAAATCACTGTTACAACGGCTCGGAATTTCCACTTCAGAACAAAAAATTCACTAAAATGGATGATCTTAGAGTCCAGGCAAAGAAACGAAGAGAAGGATAGTCCAATTAAATTACATATTGAGTTTTATTTTTAACTTTGTACTTCGAATAATTTGCATTGCAACTTTTCGAAATTCTGTAGCATAGTCGCACATCGGGCGTTCAAACCTTAAATTTTGGTGGCCCTAGTCAGCTTTAACTCGCCCCTGGCGACCGTGCGACCGTGCGACCGCCAATTTTTTTTAGCCCTGAATTAACTTCTAGTGGGTCGATTTGTAAACGACTCAACCCAATGTGGATGTATTGGACAACCCTCAACATTTAATAATTAAAGATGAGTTATAATTAAAAAGTAATAAACAAAAAAATTAAAAAAAATTATTTTTTCCCAATTTCACGTAAAATACAAGGGTAATTTCACCACGTGCTTGAAGTGAATCTTACATTTGTATCCTCTGAATTTAACCATACAGTGTGTTTTAGAGTACTTTAAGCAATTTACCTTGTGCAGCGGCCGTTCTTTTATTTTCCTCTTCTGAGCTGGTCCACCTGCACCAATTCCTGAAATCTTCCATGACTTCAAGGGACACAAATCCATCCATTTCGCCCGCAAAGAACGAAGGATCGTCCAATTCTACTGGTTCCCATTTTCGCTTCTTCCCATTCGAATTCTTCTCTGTCATTATGGAGCAATGAGCAAGGAGCTTTAATTGAGGAACTGAATGTAAACGCTCTTTTATAAAACAAACAACCGTTTTGGTTTATTCCTAGAGAGTTAATAAAAACACTCTCACGTTGTCCGCCATTATGGATTACCCGCCAGAGAAGGACTGGATAAGAAATTGTATTGCGAGTAATTCAAACGGGACTTAGGCCTGTTCCAAACGTCGTGCTACTGCCGTGCCGAACTCAAATGAAATAGTAATTTCGATTTAAGCACGGCAGTAGCACGCCGTTTGAAACCATTAAGCGCGGCACGGCTGAATTAGGTTCGGCACGACTACTTAGCGCGGCAGGCCTTGCCGTGCCGCACGGCAGTAGCACGACTTGGTTTCAAACGTTGTGCTACTGTCGCGCCGAACTCAATTCATAAATTAATTTAACGGATTTTGCATTATTTGCATACTATTACGCATGCGCACTAATAAAAAAAGACAAATCTACCCGTTTTGCCCGAAAGCTTGAGAGAAGAGGAATCCGACGGTGACAATAAATTGCTTAGGGTTAGGGTTAGGGTTTAGAAACGCCGGCACGATCGTAATACAGTAACTTGCTGGCTCTCGTCAAGGGAAACCAGAAGAAGAATAAATGAAAAAACTTTCAAAAGTAATCCTCTCCTTGCAATAACAGTATTCAATATGGACTGTTGCATTCGCCTGCGTTGCCTTCTGGCATTTAAAATTGTCTTAAACAAAACAAACTTCTCGCGCTCTTCGTTAAGGTTTCCCTCCGCCATTTTGGATGGGGCGATACCGCTGGATGGATGGTTTGTTTTGTCTTTTGAATTTGGCGCGACTGCATTAGGTTCGACGTTTGAAACCGCTGCCGTGCTATCGTCGTGCCACTGCCGAGCCAAATTCATTTGAGTTCGGCACGGCAGTAGCACGACGTTTGAAACAGGCCTTATCCTCTGATTTATTACAACATGGCTTTTCTCCCTTCGCTGGATCAGCTGAAACCCTTGTGAAACGTTAATGAAAAGACTAACATGGCGAAAGAACACCGTATATTCAAAGAGAAGTGCTCTTATATTGAGCGTTTAAACGAAAACTCGTTTCTTATCAAGAAAGGCTTTGTCCCAAACATGAAGGTAAGTGAACGCGCGCCAAACATCAGATCGGAAGCTCAACTCCAGCTGAGTAGTGTGCGCGTCAAAATGCACGTCTAACGATGTAATACGTGAGAATGTTGATAATAAGCTATGGTCATCGAAATAAATCCCCTTACACCTACCATATCCGTCAAAGTAATTTCCTTTTTCGAAATAAGTTTTGTCACAAGGAAAATTGTTTCTGGGACAACTAGATTTTGTTCTCCCCCTCTTCCCCACCTTTTCTGCCCACGTTATGATCAAATCCCCGCCCCCTGCCCCCTTCCACGTCTCTCATGTCAGAACTTTTTTCTTTTTTTTGTTTGTTTGTTTCAATCAGTCAATTCGCGAACTAAAGTCAAAGCTGTCTTAGCTGGCACCGTATTAAGCACTCGCACTGCATTAGACGCCGAATTCCCGTGGATGAGTGCTAATTAATACAGGGTCGACTGAACTGGACAAATAAATTTTGTCCTCTCTTCCTCCATCAAACCCAGATTATATCCATTATTGTCCCCATCTCCCCTAATTTCTCTCCTTTTCCCCTAGTTGCAAACTGTGGTGTTTTGCTGGAAATTGTTGATGCAAGAATGTCCTAATTAGTACTGGATTAGGATGTTCTAATTAATTAGTACCATGGACAAATTGTTACCTACTGTTTCAGATACAAGACTTGAGGTGTACATTGCAACTATTCAACTCTAAAGTTCAAACTATTCTTTTCTCTTTTTTTTCTTTAAAGATTGAAGGTATCTTAGATATATAATCAAGCTGCTCGAAAAACTAATGTTTGATGAGCTGAAGCACTGGGCTGGAACTCAAGGTACAGTACTCTAAACATTTGAAATATAATACTGTTGTATTTGCTGCATTTGTCTTATTCCTTTCATACAATTAAATTAAATTGCTCTCCATGTGTTGGTGGTTTCCTTCCTGGTGTAAGGCAGATTGCAAATGTTGCAGCTTTGCCTGGAATTGTTGATGTAAAAATGATCATAACTTTTTCTTGTTGAAATTACAACTTAATTTAATCGAAACTTGTCCAATCCTGGGACCAGTTGTTTGAAGGCTGATAAGTGCTAACTCAGGGTTAAATTTTAATCAGGGTATGTTTAATCCTTTGTTTAAAAGCCTTTTAAAATAATTTACCATAGATTTTTTAGAGCTTCCAATCTTCAAATTGCAGACTAAAAGAATTGTATATACTGAATTTCATTTGAAAGCTTTGAGATATGAAATCAGATTTCACATTGACCATAAGTTATCTAAACTCAGCTTTTAACAAACTAACCTTGTACTCTTGGGAAGCAGAGAAAGTATAAAGTGGAGATGACAAAAGAGTTTCTTGCTATACAGTTTGTGTTTCCATAGTATTTTTACACAAAGATTTCACTTAAAGTGGTGCCAAATAGAGCATCCAGTTATCCAGTTAGATCCAGTTAGATCCAGTTATTTCATGCAAGATCTTGAGAACACATGCAAATCAGTTTTTCTGCTTTAAGCAAAAGCCCTTAGAACTGTTTTTCTAGGAGTTTTCTTAAGTTCCTGTTTATTTCCCTCCAAAAACAGGAAAACTGAAAGCCAAAAAAGACAAATAGAATTAAAAGGCTACGTACATGATTTAAACTTTATGTGCTCTTATTTACCTCATCAATGGAGTTCCTAGGCCGCTCACGCAGATCACAACACAATGACTCAGTTTAATTCTAGCCATTTTAGAAGTAACATTCCTTCACTTCTTCTTTGCTTATGGACTACAATGCTTTTACTGTCACTTTGATACCTATTTTTCGATGGTAAACCCTGTTTCAACAGGAAAAGAAAGCTGTTTAAAGGTGAAATCTGAGTAGAAGGAATCGCTTTCCACCATTGGAACACCGTTGAAACACCATACAAACCTGTTTCCAATACCTCTAAATATGGTGCTGCAACCCTGTCAACCCTATTTTTGACAGCACCCTTGCAACTCGGGTATCGAAGTGATGTCAAATTGTTGGCATGACTGAAAACCCTGTTTCAGCAGGAAAAGAAAGCTGTTTTAACAGTGAAATCTGACAAGTAAGAATCGTTTTCCACCATAAATGAAAAATGAAAGAGATAATCATAATGATTTGCATATTTAGTTCAGGGCATGAAATTGCACCTAATACAGGCACCAATGTGACTAAATTTTTCACTTTGGCCACTAAATCCTGAAAATTAATCGCCAAATTGGCAACTAGCATGTTTCATCATAACCTTACCGAGAGATATAGTGAATTAAAAGGATTTGCAAAGATAAATCCATGGCAAACTTCCTTGTTAAGTTTGTTTCCAAAACACAGCACATGCATCTCAATTGATGACTTGATGCCAGCTTGGATTTAGGTGAGCTTGAATGTTGTATATCATCCATCCTAGTGTTCACTTTATAGCACGTTGAAGATTTTTTCCCTAATTTAATTTTGGAGGGTCTATCTAGAACGTCGACAGCGTGAAAAAGGTTTTGTTTGTCTTTGAAAATGGCGACCAACTTTTTTTGAATTGGCAACCACTTTGAAGAATTTAGGAGCCTAGTGGCTATCAGAAAAAAAAATTAATTTCACGCCCTGTAGTTAGAACAAAGTAGTCAGCTTTAGGGGTCTTTAGGGTGTTTGAATTCTGATTAGGTATTGTTTCACGACTTTTGTTCTATTATTTTACATCAGCGCTACTAGATTTGTTCAAGTGAATTTGCTGGCTATCTTAGAATTTCATCTCTCCGTGGCCAAGAAAAAAAAATCTCACATGTTGTGATTTACTTTAAAAAAAGTGCTATCTGGTCCTATCTGCTGTCTGGTGCATTGTTGATAGCACTTAGCACATATTATTTCCTTTAATTTCATTAACTGAGTTCGTGTGCTGCTGCACAGTAAAGATAAATCGAGAAAGCCTGCCTGTTGGTTTGTTTGTTTGCACCTCACAAATGAATGAAGATACAAATAGTACAGAACAGAAATGAAGAAGCCCCCTTTTACTTTGACATAGTTTAAAAGTAACCTACCTTGAACTATGGAAAATCCCTCTTTGAACATTAACATGATTTGAATTAATTTAAGCCATGAGTTCAACCTAGTATGGTATCTGGGATTGTGGCTTAGTCATCGTTATGGGCGGCCGTCACCACCAAAAATACCAGGATGTCAAATAGATCAGCAAAAACAAAGCTGGTTTAAGGATCAGCTGTAGGACAGCATAGCTAGTAAAGGAATGGCAAAGCCAAATCATAGACAGTTTAGGTTTCCTTCATGAAACAGAACACCCTGAACATGAATAGTTTAGCCAAATGATAAACAGTCTAGTTGCCCATGTCAAGTTGGAACTTGAACTTGTGAAATGGACTAGCTCAATTGAGAATAATTTGGTGTAGCGTTGCATGAAATGGCTCAGTGTAATTTTGAATGGTACAGTGTACATATAAACAGTGTAGCGTTGCATGAGATGGCTCAGTGTAATGTCGAATGGTACAGCGTACACACAAATGGTGTGGCGTTGCATGAAATGGCTCAGCGTAATGTCAAATGGTATAGCATACACACAAATGGTGTAGTGTTGCATGAAATGGCTGTTGCTATCAGTATCTGTTGTCTACATTGGCAGTAGAAAACGGACAAACAGAGGAGTTTCTTGATCACAGTGTAAATTTCAGGAAGATAAAAAGTACCTTATAATTAAAAAAATATGTGCAAAAGACATTATAGTTAACTAAAACAATTCTACTGTATAAAATAGTGGGAAATGTTTGTTTTCTGTGTTTACACAAAAACTAGTAACTGTACAGTGCAGAACCCAGCTAGTCTTGAACTCTTGAGGAAAGCAAAAATTTACTCATACAGCTGGGATTTCAAGATAGTG